CGAAAACTAAGTTAGTATGAGCAGTTTCTAGAAGTCATCGACCTGCATCCCTTTCAGGTAGCGCAGGACAGCGCACACTACCCCAGGCCTCCTCTACGATAGTCATGCCAGATGGGGATATGAAGCGAGAGAGCTATCCTCCAGCCAAAGCCGTACACCTGCTTTCGGAGCAATATTAACTAGAAATTATTTGGATGTCGAGCGCAGCAATCAGGGGCTTGATATTGTATTTGACGGTAATATTGAGCAAACTGGGTGCCTACATACATATGATCCAACCTGCATTGGTGTATGACTTCCTCCAAAAGTCCTTATCAGAGGACCACACAGCGCCGGGCCTCAGAAAGGGCGAGGCAATGGCTGTAGTGAGTTCCAAAGACGAGTTGGAGACCCACCCCGCTTCCCCGCCAAACAGGTAGGCAGGCAACCCCCCTCGAAATATCCTTTATATAACCACCCCCCAACGCGGTCCCAGATTCACTCCATTCCATACTATCCCATATCCATAATCCGTCTATATATGCCTTTGTGTTTTCCCCTCCCATAAATAATGAGTGACTTCAACGAAAAAACAAAAAAAACAGCCCCACGATAAAATAAAATTAATAAAATTGGATACACACCGCACTCCACCCACCCAACCGGCAGCCGTAAAGAACCAGAAAACAAATTTGTTGTAAAGAGAGAGACGAGACGAGAGGCGATTACGCGCACTTCCCCTCCTGCCACATCTTAACAGCCTTCACAGTCATACCGCGCGCGTTGCCCTCACCCCACGTGGGGAGCCAGTCGTCGACGCGCTGGTAGAAGGCGCCTGGTGCGAGGTAGGTGGAGGCATCGACCCATGGCTTGCCGCCTACGCCGTCGCTGTTGTTTCGTTAGTTTGAATTCATCTTAAAACACACCAGCATCCTCCCCTCCAAAAAAAAGGAAGGGGGGACTAGTAAACAAAAGGTAAGAACTCACAGGAACCACCCATTCCGACTCCCCACCGCCACATTCATAACCAAATAAAACTCCTGATCAAACGGCGCCCCCCTATTCTTGCTCCCCGCCCACGGATTCGGCAATAAGGTATTATTCACAAACACATCCCCAAACTCCCCTCTATCCCAGAAATCCTTCGGCGTCCCCTTCCCGGCAATGCCGACATACAAGACCTGCTGGAGTCGGCTGTCGAGATAGGTGTACATGTAGTCGCCGGACCACTCGAAGCCGAAGGTGTGGAAGCTCTTGGAGAAATCGGTGCGGCGGATTTGGCGGCCGGCGGTGG